GGTTCCACATTCTCAGTCCTGAGGCTAAAATGATTCTCTTTTTTTAAAAAATCCTAGAAAGTTCTGTAATATGAAACTCAAGGTAGGAAATCCTAAATGGCTTATGAAAAGCTTTCTAAATCCTGGTTTCTAATGAGCTACATATTAATAAGTTGGTCGAAATACAAGAGCTGATCGTTACTGATTCCCCTCTGATGATAAGCTTGGAAACGTATCAGAGCGCCACTTAAGAATATTAATCTTTTAACAAATGCTGGCAATTTGGCCTTACCCCCCTCTTCAACTTGTGGTAAATAGTTTCTTTTTTTTTTTTTTAAAAATAGACAATTTATAAGGAAAAAAATATATAAACACTCTTTAAGCAATTTGGCTATAAGCATTAACATCACTGAAAAACTCCACAAGAAATAGTAAAATATTTTGAGCGGATGTACACTTTTTCATTTTCACAACATGATGAGTTAGGGTTTTTGTCTTTGTTTTCATTTCTTTGTTTTGGTATTGAATTTTATTGATAAGTTTATTGCTTCCGTGTCTTCTTGTCTTTCTCAGATTATCATTGTAAAATAGAGGTGCTGTCCCTAATTACGTCGCAAGGCAACATTGTATTTTTGAGACCTAGGAATGAAATAGACAGGGCCACTGTTACTTCAACAGCCTCAGAGAGACAACGGCTGGGGCCACAGTCCATATGCACCATGGTGCACAAAAGAGTTAAGTCTCCTGGCTCATTCAGGACACTTCGGTTTGGAGGATGAGATAGAAAATTCTTAAGTGTAGCTTAGCTGCTGCCTCATATCTGTTGCATAATATAACTTTAAAAAAAAAAACATGCTATGAATAAAGGGTTAAAGAGTATAAACTGGCTCTTCTCCTTGGTTTTCTTGTAGCAGGCTTCATCCAGGCTGATGTGAGGAACCTGTCTTTGCTAGGATACTAAGGAACGCACGCACATGTACCTGGTGCAAATATTCTGTAAAGTATTTTAAATGATGCAGCTCAGAGCCTGAGGGGAAGGGTGGGGAGTTGGAAAGGGGAGAGCAGAAGGCAAGTCTGAGGACAGGGAGGGGCTTTGAGAGAGAACAAGAGAAACAGAAAGGGATCGAAAAAGCTAAAGTGCAATTTTAAAATATAAATTATTTTAAAAGCAGGAGACTCTAAATAGCTACTGTTCGCATAGGCACAGTTTTATTCAAATTTAAATGGGTTGTTTCCTTTTCCTTCTCAGATATACTGCATAATGGAACTTGAATGGCTTAAAGCTACGGCACATTGTTTGGGAAGGGGAAAAAAGAGCACTAAGGAAGCTGAATAGTGCAAGGCATTCTAGGAAATTGGGGTGGGGTGGAGAGAAGCAGAGATGAAGTTGTTTCTACACTTTTAAAGAAAGCTGTTCCAGTTATAGTTACTGATTCCCTTTAGCTGAACTCTGCTTCCTAAAGGAAAGAGCTTACTTTAAAAATTAAAAAAAAAAAGAAGAAATAAATGTTTAAAAAAACTGTTCAGAACATAGATTAAAAAATAACTCACAGAGCAATAAAAATCCTTGAAATTTCTATGCACAGAGATCTAAGCAAAACATTTCCACCAAATAATGGAGAATAGCCATTTGAAACCCTGAAAAATGAAGATATACACAACTAGAGTAGTTTATTATGAACTAATACTTTAAAAACAAGTAGATCCTACAGAAGAATACTGTTCAAATGGAATGTTTTAAAATAACATTTATTAATAAATATCTTATAAAATTCTAAATTAATAGATTCCTGTTCAAATTTTGCTTTGGTCCTTGAATTCCACTGTATACACACATACATACATATATATTTTCTTAGATGGTTTTTATTAACCAGAAAGAAGCACATTCTATCCTAACTGGATGGCTAGTTTGATAGCAGTTACTGATGCTTAAAACTCCCCAGCCAAGGGCTGGTCTTTCACCGCAGCTGGTTTCAGGTTTTAATGGCAAACTCAACTGACACACCAAAATTTACATAACAGGCAACAAAACCACCTGAACATTCACCACTGATGCCCCTCTGTTCAGAACATGCACTGCATTTGAGTTCTTTGACCAGACAGGCTCCAAAGAGCATTTGCTCCAAGTAAGTCATCCTAATTATCACAGTTCAATCAGTGACACCGCACAAACTGCTGTCCCCCACAGGCCGCGTGAACACTGTGACTCGCACACACCGACGTGGACGTGGGGAGGGATGAGTGGGGGTGTAAAGGAAAAACATCAGCTTAACACAGGCTTTAAAATGAGTACGTTCATCCGTGGCTAGGATTTACTCTACCTGTCCTGGCATCATATGTTGGGAAATGTCTTTTAAGAAGAAATACGATTTGGGGCACCTGGGTGGCTCAGTTGGTTAAGCAGCTGCCTTCGGCTCAGGTCGTGATCCTGGAGTCCCGGGATCGAGTCCCGCATCGGGCTCCCTGCTCGGCGAGGAGCCTGCTTCTCCATCTGACCCCCCCCTCTCATGTACTCTCTCTCATTCTCGCTCTCTCAAATGAATAAATGAATCTTTAAAAAAAAAAAAAAGAAGAAATACTATTTGGATGCCTCAATTTAGGATCAGCTGGTAGAAATGCCATCAGGGGTACCTATCTAAGTCAAGTCCCATCACATAAGGCAGGGGAAGCACTGTAGAAACTTCCAGGTAGGCTGACAGTGACTTCAAAGGCAGATGCTGCCAATAAAAAACCCCACATATGAATGAGAGGCAGTGTTGCAGGGCCCGTCCCTCCTCAGGATGGGTGCTCTGAAGGTCATTACAATGGATCCGTGAAGATATAGGTGGATGACCCAGGAACTGAGTGGGAGAGGAGAACGGGGCAGAAAAAAGATGTTTTCCCAGATTGGCAAAAAATGGAGGGCACGGAGGGGTTTTCAGGGAGACTGATTGTTCCACGGTCTGGTGAAGGCTGAACCTTCCAGTGAAGTACTTAATATTGATAAGCCGAGTATTGGATTTGACCAACGAGCCTTTCTGTTCAGGGTTTCAAGACGCTCTGACAACGAGCTGGCGCCTTCCATTTTACTGTATTGCCACACTGAACATACCTAAAGGCTCTAAGTATAACAAGAAGACAGTTTATTCTAATTATATGTTGAGAGCCGTTTGCTAACGTGTGTGTGTGTGTGTGTGTGTGGTTGGTTTGCCTACTTAGCATAAAAAACAGACATAATTGACCACTATATAATGCACATCAGTCAAACTGTCAAGTTGCTGAATTAAGAAAACTCAGGCAAGTTCTTCACCACAGAGGCTTTCAGTTAAACAACTAAATATTCAATCAAGAGGTGGAACAGAAGTAAACCATAATTTTAGTGACAGCCCACTCCCTGGATATTCTGATATTACTAGTGGATTTTTTAAAAATCCATTTCATTAAGTGCTATGCATGCAGTAAAGAAAGAAAAGTTTTTGTTTACTTAAAGCAAAAAATAAGAAAAACATAAAAAAATTTAAAACCCAAGCAAACATTGCAACGAGCTCTTTCTCTTTTTTAGAGAGACACATACGTGGTCCTAGAAAGGAGTTTTGAAAAAATTAAATTTAATATCAGAATACAGATATATCTTAAATATTTCTTAGGAAGCCAGTTAGGTTCAACCATTCAGCTGTTACTGCTGGGATGCAAAACAAAACAACTATGAATTCAGTATTTAAAATACTTAAAAAAAGATATGTTTGTTTAAAATATAATAGAAAATCCTTTGCATTTTTCTTTTTTCTCTAAATTTTTTTGTTTTTTTTTGTTTGTGTGTGTGTTTGTTTTTTTGTTTTGTTTTTGTTTTTGTTTTGATTTCTAGACCACAAAGCCAGTCATGAGTTTCCCTGGAAACTCAAAACTTCCTTTTGAAAGCACTGCATATATTTAAAAAAAAATTGTTGATAAATACTGATTTAAAAAGTAAATTTTTAGATAAAACTGAAACTAGTTATAAAAATCATGCTTCACGACCCTCATATTTTCTTTTTTCTCCAAAATAGATTCTTATGCTATAGTGAGAGATAAACACATAGACACACACCCATACATGTCTTTCCCTTTCTTGAACTCTTATAAAAGCTACACCTTTTGTAAAATACTATTATTTTAAATCCCATGAATGTGCGTGCATGCGCGTATGTGCACACACACACACACACACACTCATGTTAGGAGGTCAAGCATTCAAATGGAGATGAAACACCAGCACCTGTCTAGACTGCTAGAGGGAAACATTAGCCCCTGTTACTTGCGAGATGTGATATTAAAACATTAGCACAGTAGAATGGCTTGTTTCAAGGAGGCACAACTGTGGTTCGGGACTATATGCTTTCCATAATGGGCGAATCGATGAAAGTTGTTGGAAATATAAATCAGAATTATTCAGAAGAGTGGAGTAGCCATATCCATGGGATTCTTTCAGCAGCCAAAGAAGGCTTTGGCTGTTCTGGGAGGGCTGAAAGCACCCCTATGGAAACATTAGGTTTTCTTTCTCTCTTTGTTCCTCCAGTGGTGCGTCTACTTTTATCCACCAGAACAGCAAAGCCAGTTCCATAGGCTTAAGAAAAAAAAAAATAATGAATCTTAGTCTATTAGCAGCTGATGATTGAACAATGTAATCTGTGTAGTGAATAGAGCCCTTCTGAATCATTATATAGCATATGGATTTTCAACCTTATAGGCAGGCCATATAAAACCAGTTGTAATTCGAGGGTGTGATGTTATAGCCCGCATCATAATCTGGACCTTCACAATCGAGGCTTACAAGGCTCCCTTCCCTGGTATCTCCACAGCTGGCTTTCAACAGTGCCTTACCTACGGCTAAGCCACCTTTTATTTGCTCTGATTATTAAAAACCTTACATCAGGCACATTAAACATCTCCTGCTTACCATTTTGGAAAAAGCAAGAGGTGAATGAACTCCAGCTGTGGGTTACAGGCAAGAAAAGCAATGGCTAGATCCTTATTTTTGAGATTTGCTTTTTTTTTTTTCCTTTAAGCATTATTTTCTTCTTTATCTGCAATGCTAAAGGGGGAAAAATAAAACAGAAGAAAGTAAAAATGAAGAATACACAGGGAGCCCAGGGAAAAGTGGCAATGGAAAGGAAGACTGGAGGAAATTAGAGGACAAATCGAGGAAGTGGACCAAGAGGAGGAGGAGAGGGGGCGAAATGCTCGGTGGTTTTATTTGGACATCAGCAGATCTTATAATTTTTTTAGGAAGAGAAAAAAATATGGAAAAGGCTCTGTGTTTATCTGGAACTCTGGCGACATCACAGCGCAAACTCAACGTGTGTTACGATGTCATCAGACTCACCACCCAGTTACCTTGCATATGTTTACGTGACATCTAGGTATGCCTCATTTTGGCTAAAAGCTGCGGTTTAACAAGATTCAATGTTTCAGGCAAAGGGCTGGACTGGTAAGAATGAAACCGTGTCTATATACAGAAAGAGTTCAGTTTATAAACAAGTTAACTGGTACCAGAAAATTGGAGAAAAGCACCAAAGCATTTCCCAAGCTGATAGATTAATTAATTGCATAACTCCCTTTTTTTCTTATATAACTAAGTATAAAAGACAACATTTCCATAATAACTATAAAAATGAAAGCCAGTCTCTGAAGGGCTGAGGAGTCTTCCAGGTCTGAGTTAATTCTAAAAATGCCCTTAAAAGAAAGGACGCATGATATGCGACAGCTCTTCTTGGAGGCAAGGTCTGACCCACCGGCGGATTTTAAAGGATGGGATTCAGGTCTGTTCTGTGAGTGGTAAGCTGACTGAGGGTGGAACTTCCCACCACCTCGCTCACTGCAGAGGAAGTGGTGATGGTATTATGTTGGATGACCTGCTGCTGAGAGCAAGCTGGGACGGGACTGGCAGGAGGGCTGCTCTCCGGACCTAGGAGAAAGCACACACACACACACACCAATATAGCTCTTCTCGGGTGGACCTGAGGGGCTACTCAGGGAAACATTACTACGTGTTTACTAGAAATAGAAGAGTTTCACACATTTACTCCTGGACGTTAATTTCAAAACTTTATTTTAAACTGTAGTCAAAAGCTATGCCTTCCCACTTTATAGCTACAAGCAAAGCCATGCTTTCTATACCAGCAACATGATTGCATGTGTTCTCGAGTCTCGGTATGTGAACTTCCCCATGTTTGTATCTTCAAATAGCCATCCATATATCAAATGTGGAAAAATACTCACATGTGGTGGGAGAATCTGTGTTGCTCAATCTAAAAAATTATTTGAAAATAAATTGACCTTCAGCCATGAATCCCTGCTCCTCCCACCATCCCCCACTCAGCTAGCATTTAACTTATGGACATTCTAGATGCAGAAACTGGGGTCTAGAGAAAGGGATTCACTTTACTTATTGGAAAACTAAGCTGAGGTCACGAGCTTTTCAGCCCAGTGAATAATAGGCAGCATCCCTGAAGGCACTGGATGTGATTCACCCAATGCCTCTACCCCAGCCCACTGATTTCTCTGGAAGGCAGCTAGCCCACTGGTAGTTGGGCTCCCGCAAGCTATTTTCCTACTGGCTGTGGAATTGGAATTCGGTAGGATTTTACAATGTGAAATGCCAGGGAAAGTCTAGCCAGAAATTATCGGGAGGTGGTGGGCATGGGGATGGGGTCAGAAAAGAGGGATCCCTCTGATGCAATAGTCTGGCAGCCACTGAAGAATTCTACTATGATATCTGCTGGGGTGTGCAATCTATGCTTTACTTTTGCTCTTCCAGTAAAATCCAATGCAAAATTAGTGGCAAAAAAAACTGGACACTAAGAAAAGAAAAAAGTCAACGACTTACTTAGATATCCTTGTGATTCTTTCTGCATGGCTGTTATTGGACAGTCTTTATGCGTTAACAACAACTGTTTCAGCTGTGCCACCTCATTTTTCAACATGGACACTTCATTCTGGAAGGAGACATATCAAAGCCGTGTTGAAAAGACCAGAGAGTACAAGTCCCCATGCACTTTCAACGGTGATATTGGCAAACTTTTCTGCCGTGTCTGAATGACATTAAGGATAATATTTAATGGGATTCACCTGAAAATGTGTAGCTTGCCTTTAACTTGGTCCTCACATTTACCAGGGACTTTTTGAAAAGACCAAGTTTTTAACTCAAGAGCTGAATCCTATTAAAAGTCCAGAGCACACCCTTTAGGTAGTGGACTCTGGAGCCAGGTGACTTGGGTGGGAATCTCCACTTTACACTTACTGGGTGACTCTAGGCAGGAAACATAAGCCAGCTAAACTTCAACGACCTTGTTTATAATTGGGGATCAAATCGGAATAAAGTTCTTTGAGTTGTTGTGAGGACTGAATGAGGCAGTAGATGTAAAACTCTGAGAATATTGCCTAACACACTGAGCAACTACTGAATTTAGCTATTCATAATAATCATCTTCACACTGATAAGCTCAGGTTCATGTTCAATCTGTGAAGAAAGTGAATGTTGCACATGCATTGAGAAGAATTGAATGGCAGAATTAGTGGCTTCAAACTGAAATGTCCTCAGAATAAGCCAACCGATCTACCATCAGATTTCCCAAAAGAATTTCCAAATGGGCTATAGTTCAACAGAGTGCATCCCTGCCTGATGTCTGCTTAGCAGAAGGCATGGAAGCACATGGGACAAATGTTGATTCTCTAATGGAAGGATGAGGTCCGCCCAGGAACGGAGGGGCAATGAAGTTTTGGCAACGATTAAATTAATTCGATTGGTTCACTAACTAGTTTGGCTAATTTCAGTCTATAAACTCTTCCTGCCATCAACAATCAGGGTGTTGTGGATTGCATGTGTGTGTGTTTCTTATTTACTTAGATAAGTGCCTCGAATCTCCACTTTATGTAGTAATTCACAAAGACCAATTCATAGCTTTGTAGAATAATGTACTTGGCACCACTGTCTACAAATATAAATGTAGAATAGATTGGTTGGTTCTAAGGTGCTTCCACTTGATAAAAGTAAACTGTAAACATAGCACTATCTCAAACAAGCCATTTTATAGTTGTGATAAATAATATCCTCTCTCTGGCCAATGTTCATTCGTGGCTGCCAGGCATTGTACTCCACATGTGGGAGCCTTTAAAAAAACATGCACACAGAAAAGGGTGTTTTAACATTGCTGTCATTAAGTTGTATCTGCACTTTCATTATGAACTTGGCTTTTCAGGCATGTATTTATCACCTAAAAAACTAAGTTTGGGATTCTAAAAGTTAATTTAAAAACATTTTTTTGGAGCTTGTTTTAAAGACTACCTCGCATTTCCAAATTCATTTGCAAAATATAAGTAATCAAATGGTGAGTAACATAAATAACAAAATAGTAAGAATCTCACCTACAAAAGCCTTTCTCTTCTCCAAATTTTACAAAATAAAAATGCCCATCTGAGAAATTAGCATTAATAGGACAAATAAATCACTTAATTGCTCTTAATCTGAAAACATTCAGGAGGGTGAATTGCATCTCCCACCTCCAAAGGAATGTAATTGGTAAGGGGCCCTATCAAAACCAAAATTGATCCCTGTCAATTCTGGGGTCAGTGGGACAACTGTATTTTTAGAACAACTTATTGTAGCCTTAAATACTAATTCTTTCCTCTTTGATTTTATGCCCATTTAAATTCAGACAGCCTTCCTTGCTTTTCCCAGATGCCCTTTGCTTAAAATGGCATGTGTAAAAGAAAGTTACTTTTAGTCTGTTAAATAGAAGGCAACCCCTGGTTAAAAAACAAAACAGGGATGTCTGGGTGGCTCAGTCGGTTAAGCGTCTGCCTTTGGCTCAGGTCACGATCCCGGGGTCCTGGGATTGAGTCCTGCATCAGGCTCTCTGCTCAGCAGGGAGCCTGCTTCTCCCGCTGCCTGCCGCTCCCCCCTGCTTGTTCTCTCTCTCTCTTTCTTTTTCTCTCTGGCAAATAAATAAATCTTTAAAACAAAACAAACAAAAACAAAATGAAAATGGAGAAAAAGAAAACTAATATATAATATATAAAACTAATGATATATATAATATAGGAACTAGTATATAAAACTAGTATATAAAACTTATATATATATATATATATATAT